CATAAGCTCTTCAACAAATAGTATTAATTTGACATACATTGATTCGACTGCGTGGTGAAATGTTTAAATGTACATACATATACATGTATATACCATTCAAATTAATCATTTTATTCAGCAAGGATGGATAAATTGATCAAAAGTGACAAAGCCTTTTGGATTGTTACAAAAGATTTTAATTTCAAATAAATGTTAGTTGTTTGAATTTTTTTTTCATCAAAGAATAGGAAAATGTATCCCACATTTTTTCACAAAAACATTAAGAAGCACAACTATTTTCAAAGTGAACACTGAAATGTTTTTGGTCACCATATCAGCAGACACGAATGATTTCTGAAGGATCATATAACACTGTCAGCTTTTACATCATAGGAATAAATTACATTTTACATTTACAATAAATTACATTTCAAATAGGCTATATTAAAATAGAAAATGTTTAAAATTGTTTTGGGAGTATCAAATAAATCCAGCCTGAGCGATTAAGAGATGTAAAAGATTTCTTTCAAAAAACATTTGAATAATCTTAAACTTTTGAATGGTAGTGTATGTTTTATTTAAAAAATGTATGTTATGGATAGTCGGATAGTAAGATTGTCAGTGTTTTGTGTCAAATAGTCTTGGATCACATGGCACAGTTGCAACAGCTCCATCTATATAAACTGTTTCTCAGTGAAACAGCCAAATTGAATTATGTAAATATGAAAATAGAGTGAAACTGGAGAGTGTTTATATGGAGTGTTCACATACAAACCAATATAATTGTAAATGGCTCTGAGAATCCTAAAATGAACAGACGTGTCAGAATTGGTTGACAGGAACTATGGCACGATTCATTTCAACACAAGCCCTATGAATCTTGCAATGGAGATGTGCAAAGCTTTATTTCTCACCCACATTACCATTATGTGTCTCTTTTGAACACAACAGAATAAATGCTTATAAAATCTGGATTATAAATCAATGCAAATTAGATTTATAATATATATAGTTGACTGTCAGCCATATTAAAATGATCAACAATCATATAAATATAAATGCATTTATATCAGTGCATCCCTAGAAATGATACATGCACATGCAATATACAACCATTTCAAAGGACCAGGAAAAGCCTTTTCAATCACATGCAGACTGGGCTTAACGCTTGTTAGACTTGGACTGGAAGTTCCTCTTGTTTTGCATCCCCAAGAAGGCAAATATTTCATCACTGAATCAGGAAAATTATGCCTCACTGTTCTATGCAAGCTAAAAAGCAGACATAAATATTTTGACCAGTTCTAAAATCTACTGAGCTGCAGCAATAGGCAATGTGAAGCCTTTTCCAAAAGGAAGATTTTTGGCCAAATATCACACGTATCTATTTCGGTGAAAGCAGTATTATGCTGTAATAAAAATAATTATATTTTTTGCATTTACCTCAGAATTACGATGCTAGCACTGGGAATGACGTCACACCCAACTCAAAAAACAAAGATAGACGTGTCCATTGTTAGCAATACCAGTCGATTAAAACAACCTCTAATTGCCTCTAATTGCACCGAGCAGCCATATTGGATTCTGAAGTTGGAGCTGTTGCGATTCCTCCAAGATTCTGAGTTGGAACTCTGACTTGGGAGGGCGTTCCAGTTCAAAGTTCCTACTGGGAACTAGGAATTTCCAACTTCCGAGTACAAATGGAACGCAGCATTAGAATCCATTGTGAAAAGTAGGGCTGTGACGGTGGCAGATTTTTACCACCGCGGTGGTAATGGACCAACTACCGCCGGTGGCGCGGTGTTGATATAAATATATATAGGCCTATATATAATTAATATTAATTATATATATAATTTATGTATAATATATATATATATATATACATACAGTATATATATTTATTTATTAGTGGTGTAAAAATTAGCGCGTTAACGCAGGCGATACATTTTTTCAGTTTAACGCGTTAAAAATATTTAACGCAATTAACGCAGGGGTGGGGGCTAGGGTTGGCCACCCCACTCACAACTGCTGCTTCTGTCACTTTTTCTCTTGACGAAGTGCTTTTATTCAGTCGCAGAACGACTGAGAACGGGATACGTTTCAGACACGCTCCTCTTCACTTCAGCGCCAGGCGCAAGTCAAGCAAGTGCGGAAACGGTACTGTTCTCCTACGGCGCGACAAAATACTATAAAACTCTTGTTATAATCAGTAATGCTACACTGGATACGGCACGACGCGACATGACAAATCCGCGCCAGTAAACTGCCTCGTAATATTTATGAAGTACTGACACAGAGTTCAAATGTCCTGTGTAGACACTAGACAGACTCAATCTGTTGCGACGCGGCGGTGTCGTGTCCGGTGTAGACACGGTTCACTGTTCCGCCACCAAGCAAGCGGCGCATTAACTCCTTATCTGCACGCGCTCTCTTTGAAATAGGAATCGTTGCCACATTTCTTGTTAACATCTTTCATTTATCGCTGTCTCGTTTGTATTTGGCCAGTTTGGAGAAAGCCTCACCAAACCTGACCAGCCAGGCGTTTGCGATCACGGGAACTTGAAGACACTTGTACAAACGCGGATGGGTGACATGAATGTAGATGGCTCCAGATCGGCGATGTAATATTTGGTTTCCCAACAAGGTCCATCGCTCAACACAAAATTAATTTGCTGAATGCAGAATAAACTGTATTTTCCTGTGCTCAAACCTGCCAATCTAAAGGAAACGCTGTGTATGGCGTTTGAGGTAATTTGTGAATTACCATAGACTTATGGTCTAAATAAAATAATTTGCAACTATTACTGTTATTACACTTGTATACAAAACTTCATATTATGCTTGTTACAGAGTGCGTGACGTCACGTGCACTACCGCCGGTGGCAGTAGACAACCGCGGTTGTCACGGCGACCGTCACAGCCCTAGTGAAAAGCCCAGTGTAAAAACATATATATATATAGAAGATGGCAGACAAAATGAGAGAACTGTTGACAAGATCTCATTCAACACTGAAAAGTATCAAAATAGTTCAATCCAATTAAAAAAAAAATACACACAAGATTTGTGAATGGTATATATTTACATTAAAGTGATTATTACGTTTTGAATATGGATATTTTTCTTACAAAAACGCATCGATTCGCTACAAAAGGCCTTTGTTCACCCCCCGGAGCCGTGTGAGACACTTTTTTTAGCTTTTAACTTCTTTTGGACGGACACATGCAACACCCGCTGAGTGCCATGAAACAGCTTGAAAGTGGCACTCCATACTTTACTGGTGATAATTGAGATGACTCCTCGTTTAAGTAAACAAATCCACAGGCAATCTTGTGTGTGTCATGGATTATTGGAGAACACTAAAAAGTACATTATATCAGACTCACAGTGCTTTTTGTTTTGTGATTTACAGAAAGCTTAAACAATTCATTCCAGATTTCCACCCTGAGGGGGTTGGAAACACATGATGGAGAAACCCATATTCAGACTACATCCACCGTCCAGTTCTCTCCACCCATCAAACAGACAACTAGGCCAATCAATAACGCCGCCTGCCCGACCACGACCTGCATGCTTCCGCCTGGCATCACATGAACGAGATGGTGAAGGGAACAATGAGTCAGACTCAGCTCTGTTAGGCTCCTGTCAATCCTACATGTGAGTAATCTGGGATGGATTGCAATGGTTTAACTAAATATTATTTTTTTTTACTGTGGCTTAACTGTTAGACAGTTCACAGGGTGAAACCCTGTCTGAAAAGTTATGACCATTTTAATGCACTTGACTGTATCATGTTAATAATGTCTTGTGCCTTCTGCATTCTGCTTTACTCTGCCCATCCAATATAGGTCAGTTAAAGGGATAGTTCACCTTCAGTTGCTGGTCCCCATTGATTCCATAGTATGGAAAAAAAACACTATGCAAGTCAATGGGGACCAACTGAAGGTGAACTATCCCTTCAATCATGAAAACAAATTAATCAAGGCTTTCTTCCAATTAGTTAATTAATTTAGTTTTGAGCCAAAAGCCTTGCAGTTGAAGTTGCAACTGGGATGAACCAAGTGTGTGATACTTGTGATACTTTTCAGTCCCTTCCCACTCTCTCCTACATTTTTTCTACTGTCCCATCCAGCAATGCCAATAATGGCAAAAAAAAAAAGAGATCTTAAAAAAAGGTAACCAACTAGTCGTTTTTGACCAAATGTACTTTAGTATTCTCAAAAGCACCACCTTTGTATTGATGTTGAAGAGTGGCAACTTGAAGAACAGCTTAAAAATGAGAATAACTTTTAAGCTACACCAGATCTAAGGTGCTGACTTTAACACATTGATTTCAATGGGAGAAAAGCAGCAACAAAGGGAACACAGGCAAGGAAGAGAACATAAAAGCTAATGCAGTACATGAAAAAATGGAGCAGAGGTAATGGGAGGCCTTGGGTTGAAAGCAGAACCGCATCACTAGTTACTAGTTGCACCTGCTGGTTGGTGTTGGAGCCTAAAAGCCTTAGAATCCCTGTAAGCCTGGAAAGAAGGCGAGATGTCTCTGATCAAAGTGAATTCGACCTAGTACCCTAGTGAGCACCTGAGGTGTAGTGGGTAAAAGAGAGGATGCCTGGTGTCATTAAAAGGTGGGCACTTTTTCTAATCACAAGACCTAATGGCTTGATATTCTGACAGTCACCCAGCTTCTGACTGATCATAAGCCTGAGACTCACCCTATCCTTCTGGAGTTTCTGGGCTAATCAGCTGGTGATGTCATACAGGCATCTCCTCTCCTAATTGGCTCTTGGCCAACCGTGCCATACAATGGCAAGAGCCAATGAATAATCAGCTTTAGGGTCAGATTAGATGGCTAATGCCACCTAACACTTTAACACTTCAGTGCATGTCATAAATAATACAAGGCTTCTAGAACAAATCTGAGTATTGAAACAAAGAAATGACACACTGCCAATCCATGTCTGCAACATTTGTGAAGACTAAAAATTAAAACATCACAATGATGGGAATAAAATCAACTTACTTGATCCTGTCGGCATCTGATAAGGACTCCTGTAAGAAAGAACATGCATTAAGTATGTGCAAACTGAATATATCGTCTTACACATAAATACTGAGTATTAGAGGAATCAGAGAGTTGTATAGTCCAATAAATATTTCACATATCCTTAATACCCACACTGCTGTATATTTGTCTTTTATACCAAGAGGGCAAAAATAACATTTGCTCAATACTTGAATCTGAGCTGATCTTACGTGTGGCTGAAAAAATATTTCGAAATGTCAGAGCAACCTAAAACAGTGTTCTAGCAAGAGATAAAGCAGTTTCGTATAATCGCACACATAGGAAACAGTTGTTTTGATGGATAGTCTTTTGTGACTTCTAAATGTTAAGTAGACATTCAATCAATAATCTCTATTATGGAATGTATCAATGAAATATTACAGATTTATAAATTACCTGTATGTGTTGGTTAATTCATTTAATAATTGCAATAAAAAAGTGGAAACATCATACTCTGCGTGTTTCTGCCAAACAGGTCAATATGCACATGCCTAGTGAAGCTATGAAATCGGTCTGACAACCTGTTTTTTTTTTATGCCAGCATATCCCACAGAGCAGAAAATGGTGATTTTTATTTTTTTACATTTGTCTAATGCAGAGAAAGCTTGCAAACAACTCTGTTTGTTTAAACACTAGTTATGTATTTGCTTGTTGGTGGATAAAAATCTCTCATGAAAAACTGTTTCAGAAGTGAAAACTGGTTATCAGTAAACTTCAGTAAATGCTCATTTTTAGAGCAAAATATCCTCAGTAAACATTGGAACAGTGAGATGAGGATACATGTCATGGCACTGATTCAATATAGGAAACGTAACCCCAAAATTCCTGATCATATTCTACTATTAAATCATTCCAAACCTACAAGACTTTCCATTGTGGATTACAAAATAAGATATTCTGAAGACTATCTGAGCTGCTCTTCCATACAATTAAAACACTGTGACTAGAGGCTGCCAAGCTTCAAAATGGGCAAAAAAAAACAAACATAAAAGCAATCTATAACATTTATGCACTATTCCATGTGCTTTGAAGCCATACTCTTAACGCTTCAGCCACTGAGCATTCTCCATAGATCTCAAATCTCATTTGCGTACGCCAATATTCAAACTTTCCACATGGAAAAGTCACATGAGGTATGACATAATGATGGCAAATGCCATTCATTCTTATGCATATCCTAGCAAGAACTTTTTATTCAACTGCAAATAACATTTGAGAAATACACCAATTATTTTATGACTTCAGAACATTTAAAATACAGTGCACAGGTCATATGGACTACTTTTATGGTGCCTATTAGATCTTGACAGCCCTTAGTCACTGTCCACTTTTGTTGTATCGAACAAGCAGTGTCAACAATCTTCAAAATGCATCACAGAAGTAAGTCTGTGAATAAACATGAGGATGAGTAAATAAGTTTTAATTTTTAAGTAAACCATTCCTACAATATTTAGTTCATCTCTGAAAGAATATTGCAAGAGTATTCAGGCACAACTGTTTTAAAGGCATGAAATTTGGTATAGTTTCTTCAATGCAAGAGTGGATTGTATATGAGGAAGGGGTAAAGTCAAAAATGTTGTCAATGACATACCTTGATCTGTGATAATATAAAAAAGGGAGTCACTTGTGATAAAGGTGTTTTCTCACCCTCCAAACGAATGATGGGAATCTCAGCCTTTGGCAGCCCTGATTTATCTGTATTGTCCTTTTGCACGGCTCTGCTTTCTATATGGGGTAACTGGTGGGGTTGAGGCTGGTGTTGAACCCCCCGTGGAGTCCTATCATCCCATTCGAAATCATCACTGCCCCCCACCTGGCTATAAATTGGGCCTTCGGTTTTGGAACGGGCCCCTTCACGATGAGGATCTACGTGTTGCTTTTCTGACGCTCCCTCTGGACTGTCCTCTGAGATGTGCCATGTCTTGGGTCTTGCCTCCCTTGATTTCCTGCTGGCTCTGCTATGCTGGGAGGCCCACTCGTCCCAAAGTCGGCTCCTCTCTTGCTTTTTGCCATGACGGTCCTTGGATTCATATTGTTGGGGATTGTTGTGCTGCTTGATTTGGCTCCCTTTTGAAGACACTGCTGGCTCTGGAAGGTTCCCTCGCAGCATCTTTAGACTAGCCGGGCTGAGGACCCGGTAGGTGATTTCGTCCAGAAATTGGGAAAATTTGATCTTTTCCTCAAGAAGCTGCATCTTCCATTCCGGTGGCATAGAGCTGGGAGATGTAGACGATGTGGAAGTAGCACGTCCCGTGGGAGAGGCTCGTACGCCCTTCTCCCTATCCAAGGACATACTTTTGGGATTCCTGCTGCGTCCACGACTTCTCGCCTGGGCTAGCATCTCTGCCGACTTAGACTTGCGCAGACTGTCAGAAGAGTAGACTCCCAACTGATGAGACTGCTTGAGGATGCCCTTGGGTGGATGGGCATGCAGCAGAGGCGCTGCATGGGGTGGACGCTGCTCTTCTTTGGGTGCAAGTATCTCTGCTTTCTCTTTGAAGACCAAGAAGCGCTCCACACTCCTAGTGGAGTGTGACGGGGAACTGCCTGGGATGCAATGTTGGGAGCTTTCCGAGGAAGCGAGATCATCGTCAGCAGAGAGCGCCAGTAGATCATCGCTACGACTTATAAAGCGGTTCATTCTTTGATGTCGGTGATGCTTAGGAGGAAGTCTTACGCCAAAAGAACCGTGGCTGAAGATCCGTGGTGGGGGGAGGACACTGAGCTCCAAGCTAGACAGGCTCGAGACATCAAGCTCGCTGTCAGACGCTTGCGACCACACGGGTCTCTCAGGGCATTGTGGGTAAGGGCCTGTAAACCGGGTACGCTGCAAAATAGGTGCATGATTTCGGGGGAAAATTACCTGGCAGGGGTCAGGCTGGGCTGATGGCGCAAGGTTGGCGGATGGCAAGGCACTCCCGCTAACATCCTCTCGAAATACTGGCACAGTGTGGCGCGCCTCACGGTGCTGCGGAGGTGCCTTTCGGTACGGTTTCCGGGCAGGTGCAGCACTCGTCATTCTGGGAGATCCGTGTGCTTCTATACACCATCCGTTAGTCCTGTCGAGAGAGAAGCATGAGAATCCAAAGTAGCAGTAGCCTTCAACCCTGTCCTGTGCAAAAGAGCAGTCCCTTTCCTCTGTTTCTCTCTCCCTGTGCCACCCTGCCTCTTCCTCCCTAGGCAGCAATGACAAAAAAAGCCGTTTAAATCAATAGGCATTGATGAGAGCTGCACCACAGGGTGGTTAAAAATGCAACAACCAAAGAAAAACAGCTATGGCTGTAATAGACAGCTGGAGCTAATAGAGGAAAAACGAGGGGCAAAAATGCCTCCTTAACCTCCAAACATATGTTTATACTTCTACTGTGATGTGGGGTGCTACTAAGGAAAGATGAGAATGGCTGAGGAAAGGCAAAGAGAGATATGTGGTTTGACAGACATAAAATATAGGCATGAGAAAGGAAAAAGTGGAATCGCTCTAAAGGGGGTGATTGATTACATGTTGGAGTGTGTTTCCAATAGACAAATTGTTAAACCACTGCCTGCATGACTCTTATTGATCACAGGAAGCTATGTTTGGAATGGGAAAAGTGGGTGTGCTGTTGGGATCCAATCACTTAGAACAGTGGTTCTCAACCTTTTTTTCCACCGGGCCGCACTATGGTCCAAGTGCAAGTCTCGCGGGCTGCACGCATATCATTTACATATTACGTCAGCAATACAAACCAACCTGATTTATAATAATATAGCCTAAATATTATGATATCTAATCGATTACATTAATTGAAATAAATAAATAATTCTACTCCCCATAAATAACACCCAATTTTGTGAAATTAATTTAGAATGAACTCAAACTGCTGTACAAAGACTAAAAAAAAGAAAAAAAAAAGAAAAAAAAACATACCTAATGCAGAAAAGCCGCCTCTTTTTCCGAATTGCGCAGATGACCACTATCTTTCTTTCATCTCTTCTGATACATTTTCAGTCAAATCGTTTTCTGTGTGCCAGATCAGAGCTAGAGCCCTGCATTTCAGCCCGGGCCCGATGGGCCTCGACTTTTTTACGCCCCTTGGGCTGGGCTTCGGGACAATTTTTACATCATAGTTCAGACGCGGGCAGGGCCTCGGGCCTGTTTTAGCCTTCTCCTTATTTTTATATTTTAGACATCCATCAATTAGTGATGAAAAAAGATTGCCGCGCTGGTGGAAACAACACGAGACC